CATTCCGAAACATTCTGAAGTGAATGTATATTGATCCAAAAATAAGCAGTCCATCTTCAGCACTGATAAAGTGGATTGTTATTTCAGTGAATTCCAACGACTGCACAGCGTGCAATATGGAATTCAAAGATGGAAGACCGCGCTCGGATCTATTTTACGATCATTTAACACATTTCTTGAGCGACAATCCATCTGCCAGTTGTGCCAAAGGGTTGGTTACTTTTATGATGAATTCAAAGCGCTTGGCCGTTTTCTGAATTCATTCATTGAGAGCATTCGCTCCTAGCATTCGAAATTCGTAATCTGAAAAAAATAAAAATTTCATTCGTTCAGAGGTCACGCAGCATTCGCATCAGCAGTTCAACGTTCACGACGTGGACGCATCGCATCGTCACATTTTATGACCTATCATACCGTGCTGAAAACATCCTCAGATTTCATCAATGCAATGGCGAGTGCTCGGCGAGTGGCATACAACATCTCGATTGTGCTCAACGAGGACAGGGATGGTCGTTGTCCGGTGGAAGTGTTTCCATACAGGTGATTATCGCCTTTGTCACTACTAACTCAACATCCATCTTGTAGTCGTTATCGAACAATAAATCAAGCAACGATCTTTTTCTGCACATGATTCGATAACATCGAAAAAAACTAACTAAAAGAATGCAAAAAACATTAATTTCAGTGTGTTTTATGTGTTCTACGAGCAGTACGTGTCGATTGTGACCGATGCATGTGTTCAGCTGGTGCTGTCGTTGATTGCCATCTTCTCTGTAGCCACCCTACTACTCGGATTGGATCCGTGGTCAGCGTTCATAATTGATCTCACGATTGGATGTGTTCTCTTCAATCTGATTGGTCTGATGTATTGGTGGAGTATCGACTTCAACGCTATCTCAGTTGTTAATCTCGTTATGGTACGTCCCATTTGTATTTTTAGAGATTCACCTCAATACTGCACTTATCACAAATGACAGACAGTGATAGATCTCTGCGGTGTCGATAATAACAAGCTTTTATTGCGATAATAATCGCGGGTTCTAAAATCAGAGAGCAGNAAGATGACTGCTGAATGAATTCTACGCTTCATACGTTTTGCTCATGCACCGAACTGCACATGCAGAGTGTAACACATTAAAATGTTGCAGTCTGTGGGTATCTCAGTGGAATTTTGCTCACATATAGTGCGTGCATTTGCAATCAGCGTTCACAGGAATCGTCTGGAGAGAGCTCGACATGCACTCTCCAACATGGGATCATCTGTGAGTCGGTGTTGTTTGTTCATTTGATTTGTGAGAAGTAATAATCTCCAATTAAATTCACTTTCTGTCGACCTTATCGCCTTTCTCGTGCTTCCAGCTCACCTGTTAAATGAAACTATCCATCACAAATACTGCAATATCCGATCATCTTTATCATTCCCTATAATCATCGCTACAGGCCCACCGATTCGTTAATAATGTGCATTTATTCAGCATAATTTTAGGTTTTGTCTGGCATAACATTAACAAAGTTTGGTGGAATAATAGTGCTTGCATTCGCACATTCACAAATATTCAAAGTGTACTATTTTCGTATGTTTCTTGGCATTGTGTTAATTGGAGCTGCACACGGTCTTATATTCTTACCTGTTCTCTTGAGCTTTATCGGTTAGTCATTTTTTAAAATTAAATTCTGCTTATCAACGATATCTCAAGCGCTGGAACCATATTTGCATATGGTTCCAGCGCTTGATATATTCAGTTTTTATGTTCACACTTTATTCGTTTCTATATTCCATCAGTACGATACTCAAAATTAGAGCGATCCAGAAAGATGAAGAAGAACTCGACACTGAATTTTTGTTGCATTCTATCTATATTCGGTTTGCAGTAATTTCACTCTAAACACGAACCCAAAAAAACATTCTTACGTTCTTAAAAAAAAATGTGATTAACAGTTTTTGTGTATGATGAAGTTGAGAATTTCATTTCAGTGCAAAATAAATGTTTTGCAGGTCCGCCAGTCAACAAAAGGAAGTTGATAGCGAAAATGCAAAGCGAGAGTTGTGCTGAAGGTGACAGTGCAAGTGCGAACAATAAGTGTGTTGCCGGCGGTTATAAGGTTGGTCACTTGGTTAGTAATGTAGTGTTTTAGAGTGTTGCAATTCTGCCTGCGTGCTTCGCCCCCTTCTGCGTGCAATTCAATGAAACGGTCTCAACTCAGTGCACAAATTCGCCGATTAACGATAACAGTCAGATTGTCGGTTCGAATGTGATGCATACACTCTTGCAATATTAATAATTCCTTTAATTGTATCTTTCCTGTTTGTATCGCTTATGACCATTATCGTTGACCGATCGATCCAGTTGAAAGGTCCACCCAAACAGATCTTATTCTCATAATTGATATCAAATTTTCACTTTGTTTCCATCATTTTTCATTTCCGATCTTGTTATATATATTTATAAATATGTGTCAAATTGCTTTAGTATTTGGTTTATTCTAATGAACGTTTGCGATAAAGAGAATTTTTTTTTTGAAATATTTTTTGATGAGTGCTATGCGAGGTAATGTTGAATCGCCGAACGAATTAAATGCAACTTTTTTTGCGCATTTTTTGGTGCGTCTTATCGGTTGGGAGAAAGTGAAATTATTTAAGTAAACTGAGACGAAAAAGTCTTTCTTCATCGTATCGCTGCTTTATGATGGCAACTGTACCGAGTTTCGAAACATTAAAAACTGGCTGCAGGTTGTTATTATGGTAGATGACAATCGAAGCAAGTCGAAAAAAATGTCTAGCAGTCAACCAAAAGAAAACATTCAAAAAGCGGATCAGTCCAAAGGTACTGTGCAGTTGACCTGACATCATGCTCAAATGAACTTTGAATTTACGGAACGATTTGTCAAACGAACTGAAAGGGTTTTTCGTATCGAAATAATATTTTGCTCTGTGTATGATTCTATAAATACAGTACATATCTATCTTTGAATATGTTATTTAGCCATATTTGTTGATAGTTATAATTCAGTGGTGGGCATTAACGCGCTATTCGCTAAAAAAGTAGCTATGCTACTTTTTTCGGGTTGCACGATAGCTCGCTACTTTTTCATGCAGTAGAAATTTGTAGTGATGTCTTCCGTTAGGATAATTTCAGTAGCGTGCCCATCACTGAATGTATTTACGATGAATTATTTACTGTATGCTATTTTACCATATGGATTATTGACTGTTGTGTGCCTGCATCACATTTTTTGTAACATTCACGCATTTTTGTAACATTTTTAAAAGGCAAAAAACCCATTTTTTGTTGCATTGATTTGATGATACTATCGTTCTGATAGTGTTTCTCACAATCGGGTCACCGGAATATGTTCGTTTGATTTGAGTAATTTCGTTACTTTTCTTCACTCCAAACACCTTCACTGTCACTCACCGTTTTGTTATTAACAATGTCAGAATTTAATTGATGGCTGAAATCGGATCACATTCGTGTGAAGAAAACGATTCAATGCTGCTATCAGCTCGAGTTTCAGCTTAATGTTCGCATATTGCAATGTATAAGAATTATTCCAAAATGAACTAACACTCTAAACTCATCAGTTACATTGCAATGAACTGAACGTTTGGATCACTGAAATGTTTTCTTGCCGAAAATATGGCAAGCAAAAGTCATTTGAAGTGCACTTCTATGAATAGATTTGTCATCAGTGAATGGTATGAATAGTGACGAAGGCAGTGAGATTACTCGAACTGAATTCAGCTTTATGATTCATTTATTGTAAGTATTTCGATGATTTCTCATACTGTGATCATTATTTGTTGTTTGTTTGATTGCTACTAACCAACATAATTTATCTTGAACTCTTATGTTGTATCCAGTGAATTTCATCAGCTGAATATAATCTTCATTCATTGATCTTCGAATGCATCGTTCACTTCACTTGAACATTCGATATGAGCGATTTTATGAGTGTTCTAATAAGCTAAGAAACGCTTTTCTCTCATCTCACATCAGTTCAATGAAAACATTCACTTGCTATTTCACAGTTCGTTATATATCGTTGCCTTTTGTGAGAAGTAAATTGGTGCTTTTACTAATTAAATAAGTGACATTAAATAACGAGTTCTAACAAACTCTCGTCAAATCAGTCACATCGAATGTTCAATTTCCTAACCGAAACTTATTTTCTGTATTATTCATTGTCATCNACTCAACGCATTTATCGTAACCATGAAGCATTCTTTCGCATGCTGCATATGCCTCGGCAATCCTCCCTCTTACAATTTCAATGCCTCCATCAGATTTCCACTGAACCATTCAAAAAAAATGTCCCTTCTTCCAGCAAACAAAGCGTTATCTCGTTCGTTAAACATCAGGAATTCTCTATTTCACATCTCTTTGGTATCCATCAACTTCGACTACTAACTGTTGTAACCGATATCGTTTAACTTACGTAAATTGTTGTTATAGTCATTATCGCCATCATTATGATTATCATTAACACAATCCTCACCAATACTACACAGTCGGCACCACTAACAAACGAAGCATCTCGTTGAATATATCGCCGCTCATTCATTGTTTATTTCGTGTACTTAATCAATTTGTGTTCATCACCATTTACTTATGATGTTTTCGGTTGTTCTCTGTGATGACGAGTATTTTTTTCAGTGTTTCATTGTTTTTCTTCAAAAATTTTGCCGTATGATTAAAAAGCTGTACGATGTATACAAAGTGAGTATAAAGGAATTATTAAGTTTTATTCGACGAACACACGAAACAAATTAAAATAAAAATAAATAACTGGAAAACACCAAGGAAACGATAAAACGACTGCTTCAACGAACAACGAAGCAACAAAAACAACGCTGAATAATCACTCAATGTCAACTGTACAATAATGAACAATTCCGATCATAAGCACAATAACCAAGCAAAACAAAATGTGAAACAATTACAAAA